ATAAAAATATAAGCCTAAATAGAAAAGGTAGAATATTAATATCTTTAGTTTAGAAAAACATAACTTACCAAGTGGGTGTGGGTGCGGTTTTGCCTACTTTATTACCACTATATCTACACACCCACACCCACACCCACACCCACCCACACCCACACCCACATCCACACCCACCCACAGCCACACCCACACCCTCACACACTCACACAAACCCACCCACACCCATACCCACACCACACCCACCCCCACACCCACACCCACACCCACACCCACACCCTCACACACTCACACAAACCCACCCACACCCACACCCACACCCACACCACACCCACACCCACACCCACACACCCACACCCACCCACACCCTCTTGCAACGTACGAACTTTATGCTCCAGAATATTAGATGCTCTGATCATTGTAGCGTTATTCTTTGAGAGTTTGATAAACGCTTGGCTGGAGGTCGTCAAAGATGCCCTCCTTAGACGAGTATTTCATATGAGTTTTATATACAGCTTAAATCAGTTTTACCTATAAACTTATTTTGTGCTTTTCTTTTTACTTGTTGACAGCTACCTTTGACAGTAACCAACATATATTCTTGAGGTAATTTTTACATGTGAACTTTCTGTTTTTATGTAACAAGCTATCTTTAGAATAGTATAAGATATCGTATAAAAACATGGGTCTTTTTTTCACGATTTATTATGAGTAAAGAATACAAGTAAACGACAAATATCATTCATCACCATTATCTTCTTCTTCCGTTGTAGTTTCTTCTTCTAAATTCGGTTCAAAATGTTCTTCGAGAAAAGAATCCGCATCTTTTAATGTTTTTTCAACTTTTTTCACATATTGGAAGTAGCTCGTGGCTAATTTTGCATCAACAGAATCCATAAAATCTAAGATTAGATTATAAACATCATTTTCTTTGAACGTGACGTTGCGATCACGAATGTATTGTTTTAAGTTATTCTATGATAATTCAATTGGATTAAGAGAACAACGGCGGTGAGGCAATCTAATAACTTGTACACTGAGTTGTCCCGCAACTTCATCAGTCTTGCAAAGAGAATAGTATCAAGGTTTTTTTTAGTAATGATAGTCTAACCCAGAAAATGAATATAAATCTTACTATATTTTATTTCGGTAGAGCATTAGCTAAAACTAGCTCTAGTAGCTCAGCTTTCACACAACGATTATCAAATGGAACACCATGCTTATTCAACCATTCTTGTACTTTTGCTTTTTGCCATGATCTTTTTGGTGCAATAGATTCTGGTGTGAGTACATTGTGCCACGCTGCATTATCTACTACAATTGCAATTTTAGTTCCATTTCCTACAAGACAGACAGAAGGATTCAAAAAAGTAAAATATTTTTCAATTTTCATCACCCACCAAGAAGCGTGGGTGTGCGTGTGGGCGTCGGTGTGAGTGTAGGTGTTAACATTATCTTTAAATCATACTCACACCCACACCAACACCCACACCCACCACGTGGATTCTATCATCGAACACTCCATAAGGACGAAACTCCAATGGTGACATAATCGAGTCCATCTAAATAGCACAAAATGCATTCGATACGATACTAATATGTACTTACTCGTCGAATTCGTTGTACAGCATTAACAATCTCATCGTGATAAACGATACTTTCACACTGAAAAAAAATGGTGCCCGTCGAAACCTTTAAGATTTCGTAGAAGTTTATTTTATTCTAAAAGCTACCGCATGCTTATACGAAATGTGTACGAGGTTTAGTAATGTGCATGGTTTCGTGTGACAATCCTTAAAAGTTTGAAACCTTAAAAAGGTTTTTTATAATATCGTTTTAGGTTTATTAAGTCTTCAAGGTTTCGTATAAAACTGTTACAGATTTCGTGTTAAAAAGAACCTTGAAAATGCTGAGTGTGCTAGTAACTCATTTATGGCGTATCTAATATCAGCAACTTCTTTTGACGCCATAAATGGTTTGTTTGAATGAAAAAACAAATGATATAACTGGAGAATGTTCAATTATTTATAGCCAGTCTATATTCACCACATCTTATCAGTTAAACTCTCAGCTGAGTTTAATAATCTTTTTTGTTGCACTCACTCTTGATTATTATTTTTTGCAACGAATGTCACAATCTCTACAAGGAACTTGCAAATTGTTCAAACGCCGTGCTGTTTGTTATTGCTTTTTCGAGCTGCCTTTTTTAAGCATAAAAACAGAAGAAATTATATGTCCTGATTAAGTTGCCTTTGATTCAGATTTTACAAAACGCTTAAAATTTCATCTTGAATATTACTCTACTTATATTGTAACAATTCGGATAAAAAACTTGCTGAATTTAGTAACAATTGTTTAATATATAAAAATTTCCTTTTGTATGTAAATGCTTATTTTATTTTATAAAAGTTCAATTCAAAAAAGTTATCTCATTATATAAAACTTTAGTTGATGAAAGTTGTTTCATTTTATAAGTTTATTGATTGGTCACATGACTTATTTCAAAATAAAATATTCAAGAATCTATTGTTGATATTGTATTAACATAGAAGTGTATTTTATCTTACAAACTGAATGAATTGAAAATCTGAAAATCAAGTTTAAGAGAGAACATCGTCCGTTTCAACAAATATCTGTATAAGTACAAGAGATGAAGGTGTCATTGCATCTCGACGATTAGTAAGCACTCAAGAAATATTATTTAAAACGCAATCATAAAATAAAATTATTTTTTTTGTCTTTTTAACTATAGACTAAGGTTCAATTTTGGTATACAATAGATATTCATGATGATCCGGAAGATTTAAATAAAAGTATCCAGATTGTGAAGAACGAATTATTAGACCCGAATGTTAATTTGGAATTAGTTAGAAGTTCATGGAAAGAAACATTAGTTTAAAAAAGAGATTTTATCAGAAATCATACAATAAACGAAGTTCTTGAAGAATATCGAGGTTATTGTTATGCTTCATTGGTATGCTCTTCATTATCTTTTCTCGCTCTCTATAATTTCTTTATTGAAATTGTTTTTTAAACATTTTCGACGAGATTCGATATGTGTGTAATGTCAATATTGAAGAAAACCTGAAATTTATGTTGTCTAAATACATGATAGCATTCCAGATAATTCGAGTTTTGTGAATGGTGAGTAAATGGTTCACCTGTTTATCTGTTTAATACCATTCATTTATTCTTTACATCTTTCAGCTGTACGTCTGATTAAACTTTTATCCAAGTATTTTACTGATTCATGGCAACAAATCATATCGAATAAAATACGTAATAAATCTCTTTGAAAACTAAAATCATCACATAATTAACTGATCAATAATATGTATTGATTATTTTTTTTATAAAAAGAAAAGGCCATATATTTTTTCTTTATCGTTAAGGAACCATTATCGGCACGACCAGCTATACAAATAGCAACAGATCAATTTATTATTTTTTTAGATTATGAAGTTATTAGTGAAACATCATCAATTGATGAAGCTCTATGTACTATTATTTCATTATATGTTATATTTGAATTACAATTTGGTATACACAATCGAATTATTCAATTGTTGTATCGTATTCTATTAAAACAATCTGGAGCATTAACAAAACCACTACGTATTTTATTGAATCAATGGAATTTTATTATTGATAAAAAAGAAGATGAAGAAGGTGGTCATATAGTGACAACAAACTCGACAAATTTCAAAACTATTACAGCTACAGTTGAAAGTGTGACACAAGTCGAAGATAATCAAACTGATGATTTACCAGATAGTGAAGAACAAGAAGAAATATATGTCGAAACTACAACAGGTTTGCTTTCATTGTATAAGAAATAAAATGAATATTTATATTGTATTATTAGGTAATAGTCAAGATCAAACAACAGCTACAAATATTGGTGATAAGGATCTGATCAATCAGTATTCATCAGAATCATCAGATTCTTCTTCTTCATTATCACCAATTGCTCCTCTACTTGTTATTCACATTTTACCAACAGAAGAAGAACAACAAAGACAAACAGTATCTTCACCATCTTCGAACGACAACATATTATATGAAGTAAATAACAAACAGCAAGTATCATCACCATCAACTGATCGATCGTCAACTATTTCAAATAGAAAAACTTGTCAAGCAAAAAAACGTCCTGCTAGTTCCGAAGAACCAATAGCATTACGTGTAAAACGTACACGAGTTAAAAGACAAATTAACTAGAAATATTTCTGTTCAATTTTTTATTTATATGAGTACGCAAACTTTTCGTTGATTGATTCTATCTATATTACGTTTATCAAACTAAAGCAGAAGCTGTTTCAATAAATATCTTCTCCTTTCTATCTAATTATATTTGGGCTTTTTACTCTTATCATCCATTTACATTTTCTTCTCGAAAAAAAGTCGATCTGATTTAATTTCGTCAATCTTTCGAAAAATTCAGAAAATTGTCATAAAGAAAAGCAAAATATCGTATAAGTGTTTCGAAGCTTTTCAAAACATTTAAAAAAAAATTGTACATCCAATTATTAAAATCAACAGCAAATTCAGCAGTATGTATTATTCTGGAACCTTTCAATAGTTTTATATTTAGGTTGATCCAAAGAATAAATTTATGTGCAAGTAACTATTTTATTATAAAATATTTATCTTCTTCTACATTTTAGCTAACTCAAATAATGATTTTATGTGTAAGTGACTATTTAAATATAGATTAAATTTCTTTTTTTATGTTTAGGATAAACTAAAGACACAGAGTTAGAGGTAATTATTCATTTCAAATTCAATTTATTTTTCTTTTATATTTAGGTTGATTCAAAGAATAGTTTTATATGTAAGTAACTATTTTATTATAAATTATAGATCTTCTTCTGCATTTTGGCTGATTCAAACAATGATTTTATATGTAAGTGATTATATAAACATAAATTGAGCTGTTTTTTATGTTTAGGATGAACCAACAAACAAAGTTAAAGGTAATTATTTATTTCAAATTCAATTCATTTTTTCATTTATATTTAGGTTGATCTAAAGAATAATTTTATGTATAAGTAGCTATTTTATTATAAATTATATATCTTCTTCTGCATTTAGGTTTACTCAAACAATAATTTTATATGTAAGTGAATATTTAAATATAAACTGAATTGTTTTTTATGTTTAGAATGAATCAAAGAACAGAGTTAGAGGTAATTATTTATTTCAAATTCAATTCATTTTTTCTTTTATATTTAGGTTGATCCAAAGAAGAACTTTACAGATAAGTTGATATTTTAAATAATTTTATTGTTTTCCCATATTTAGAACGGTCGAAAGAATAATTTTATTGATCAATTATTATGTTAATATAAATTAACTTTTTTCTTTTACATTTAGATTGATCCGAAGAATGTATTTATGAATATTGAATCGCTTTAATATGAACTAATTCTACTTGTTCAAAATGATACAAGAAATAATTTAGTTGGTAAGCAAAGTACTTCTATAAAACTAATTCTATTTTCTTTCATTTAGATGATCACAATCTCAACTTCACCATTGAGAATAATTCAAATGATCTTCATCTATACAGAGAAAAGCTAGGGAGGCGTGTACCATTTACTGTTGCACGGCAGAATTATATAAGTAAGTTAATAAATGCTATTGCTTAGTAAACAATGCTTACTTAAAATAACAGAAAAGAATATCTTATACTGAGTTCACAAGAAGATTTCTTAAATCTTCGGAACCAAACAGTAATTTGGTATCAGAACTCCTTCAGAATAGAAAACAGTCTTGAATAGTGCATTTTGCGAAACTACAGACTGAATTGCAATAGATGTTGAATACGAAATCCTTTTACTCACTCTTGAAAAATAGATTTGTACGAAACCTTGACCACGAAACCATTTTTCATGTAGGTTTGACCATAGTTTGGTACGGAATCTCGATCATACGAAACCAAAAAAAGGTTTCGAATTCGTTACAAACATCCAAACCTTTTTTTAGTTTCGTATAAACCCTTTTTTGTTTTCAGTGCAGAACACCGTTCCAGAACTTGAAGTAAACTTCCGAACTTCTGCGGACGAGCCATTCTGTCACAACTAGGACAACAAAGATTGACGCACTGCGTAGAACAAAAAATACATTCGACAGTCATAATTGATAATACGACTAAATTCCAATTATGAATAAATTTGAAATGAGACATCAACAAAAAATCTTTTATAAAATGTACCAAAAGTCTTATTTGTTTCTCTTTTGAACCTTTCTATCGATAATATCCTCTACTTTTCACTTTAAACTAACACAACAAATTCAATTCTCAATCCAAATCGATAGCTTTCACCGCGGTGAAACGTCTCTCATACACAAAAATTTTCTCTTCTTTAAATATTATATCACATACATGTATACATATGCACAATTTGTAATTACGGAAATATTTATTTTTCTACCAAGATCTATTTGTGTACTCAAATAGTGAGTACACCACTAGAATCGGTCAGTGTGTCCGTCCGTCCGGCCGTTTACACGATAACCTTCGAAAGGAGAATCAGACTGAGCTGAAATTTTCTACAGGGTTAGTCTCATTGATATCTCGGTCGAGTTCGAAGATGAGCTCAATCGGTTGTACCATTGCTGAGTTATAAAAGAAATTCTCATTATTGCCCAGACCATCCCTGAGGGGAGGTACAGGGATCTTTTTTCAAAAAAAATATTATTCTTAAAATTATTCACAACATATATAAATCGACTCAGTTTTTAGCGCTGATTCCGAATCTGATATCAGTTTTGAACCAAATCGTAGCTTTCTAACAAAATATCGCCTGAAAAAGGTCTCAAAATCCACAAAAACTGTATCCAGACACCAAACTGCCTGAATATGTATCAGATGACTAATACTTTTGGGGTTTTCCAAATACCTGGTTTTGTAGCTAGTCAAAAGGACTATCGAAAAGTAAAAACCCGAACTCGATAGCTATTAATATTGGTGAGTTATTATGAAAATATTGATGTCTGCATCTATCATAAATCTCTTACAAATTCATTAGGTTGCTTATGATCGTAATACCCCTAGATACAAACACAAATTTATTTAAAAATTACTCCTCTTACCTAGTGTTTTTGGACTAGATAGAATTTGTGAAGAGCCCTGAATAATGATAGGGGGTAAATATGGTGCGTTTGAGGTTTCCTCGACATTACACTGTCCGAAAATGATGAAAACCTCACATATACTGACACTACCGTCAAAAACTGTTTATTGTTGACTAAGAATCAAAAAACAAGGTCACTGTCTATTTCCACTTATTGCAGTACACATAACTCTCGGATAAAATCCGAGGTTACGCATTTATTTCTTCTATAATATCTTGGCGATTCTAATTCAAGTTCTGATAGAAGAATCTATTGCAAATTTGAATATCTCAGTTGAATCACGATAAAACACTTTCAATAGAGAGAAACTTTCTCTTCTTTAATATACTGTCATATACATGTATGCACACATACAACGCATCATGACGGAATTATTCTTTTTTCCATTAGATTTTTTATTTTCTATAATATCCTCCCAATTCCAATTGGTATTCTGATAAATGATTTAACTTTGAATTTAAATATCTAAGTTTGCTGATGATTAAGCATTTGTAATAAACAGAAATGTTCTCATCTATTTATATAAATTTATATACATGTACAAATATACAATGTGCAATGAGCAAAATATCTTTTTGTTTCTTAAATTTCTCAATTATTGTCATTGCATTCCTCATCGTTACCTTCTTCTTACTTGATTTCTTCTATACTATAATATTATTTTATTTTCCTAGATCATCATATATGTTGCATCTATATATATAGATATACTATTTGATAAATCACATATCTAGACATGTTTTTTTCTTCTTTATAAACGCCCTTTTCTCTATTATTTATCATCATCAACAAACGACAATAATAAAACACATGCTGATTCGATAGACTTCAGTTCTATAAACGATCTTTGCATGTTATATTCGATTTCATTTTATTTATATTCGAAAGCAAAGACAATATTTATTTTTAAACGATAATCTATCTTGTTATAAATACCAATATATATATATGTACTATATCTATATAAATGAAAGAGACTGCAGCAATACAAAATGAAAGAATATTTTTATTTAAAGTTATTTCATATTTTCCTTCTCTATTTCTTTGTATAGGCATCATTTATTTTAACTCGAATAATATCACGAAATTCTAAGCCAAACACATATGAGAAACAAACGAGAATTACTATAATATATAGAATTCTTTTTTTTGTTCAAGAAAAATAAAACTATACATTGAGAGAGTTTATATCAATGTTTTATTTAAAATATATGTAACTTGATATAAACATCTATTTCTTTCATATTCAACTATACCAAATTCTTATATATGACATGTAAAAACTAAAATTTATTTCAAGACAAATAACAAACACATATACATATATATATATTATATAGAAGAATGAAAATATATCATATTATGAAATAATATTTATATATATACAACATAAAATAATCATCAGTATTATTTTTCATTGCTTCATAAAATTTTACATGATTGTATTTTTATTTTTAATAGAAGAGAAAAACACAGACAAAACTTATGTTTGATATAAAATAAAATCATCATGAATATTTTGTTTGATAGTTAAAATACATCATAAATTATTTTCATATTAATATATATATTTAATCAAATAGATAGAATATATAAACTTATTCTTTTGTCATTTAGAAATCAGTTAATTCAATATATTTATATGAAGATTTATAGAAGTATATTTATCATTGTCTTTTGTAATTATATGATTGACTTTAACAAAACAAAATCGAGTAAAGAAACACAATAACATTATGTATTTATTTTATATGTATTGTATAGTTTAATTATGAAATGATAAATATAAAAACAATTACATCTGATCGTATGACATCTATAGAAATAGAAACAAATGATTCGACATAGAATTATCTATTTACTATTAAAATGAAGAATAAAATAAATTAAATTAGAAAAATATAAAGAAAGAACTTATAATAATGTCTGATATATATATATATATGACATTTAATCAATAAATAGACAATTGAACAATTTATATAAATAAAAAATTGATCATATATGATAGATGTAAATACATACACAACTAGATATTTTATTTAATATCTAGTACTATAATATTAATGAAAAAGAACCGG